CTTCATATTACTTCAAAACCATATTGATTACATGTTTATATTGTGCTGCAACTTATGTAAGTGAAGAACGAATATATTTAAGCTCTGATAGTATAGATCCTGCTGATTCAAACTCAAAAGATGACTCCGTCTTCACTCCTGAATTTTTGAACAGTATAAAAACTTCAGGCTTATCTAATCATTCTATCAGGCTGATGATTGGTACACCAGTTATGTTACTTAGGAATATTGATCATGGCGAAGGCTTGTGTAGTGGGACAAGGTTGAAGATAACACAGATGGCTAATCACATTATTGAAGCAAAGGTTATCACGGGGAAAAGAATTGGTGAAAAAGTCTGGTTACATCGACTGCTATTAGAACCTTCTGATTCCAAGCTCCCATTCAAGATGAGGCGAAGAAAATACCCACTAAAAGTTGCATTCGCAATGACCATAAATAAAAGCCAAGGTCAAACACTGTCCAAGGTTGGTTTGTATTTACCTAGACCTGTTTTTTCACATGGACAACTGTATGTTGCCGTCTCTCGGGTGAAGTCAAGAAAAGGACTGAAAATTCTTATCGTTGATGAGAATGGGAATCCGCAAGATTCAACTATGAATGTAGTTTACAAGGAGGTCTTCCAAAATCTAATTCAGTACCCAGAAGTTTAGGTACACTTCTNAAGGTTGGTTTGTATTTACCTAGACCTGTTTTTTCACATGGACAACTGTATGTTGCCGTCTCTCGGGTGAAGTCAAGAAAAGGACTGAAAATTCTTATCGTTGATGAGAATGGGAATCCGCAAGATTCAACTATGAATGTAGTTTACAAGGAGGTCTTCCAAAATCTAATTCAGTACCCAGAAGTTTAGGTACACTTCTAAATCCTTTATAATATCTAATCATTGTTGTCAGCTACATATATTTTCTAATTAGTCTATTATTTGGTTTTGTTTGTTGTACTTCGTATATATCTACAGTATTCCTCAAGCATTGGTTCAGAACAAACTGTTTGATAAAGGTACGAGCATCTCATACCGGAAATTTTTATTACATTTATGTATATATATTAAGAGGTTGATTTAACAAAAAATCTTTGTCTTAGGACCAAACCAGTGAAGTGGAGGTTACACCTTAGAAGCGAGTCATGTAATTTCCGCCAGTATTATATACTTCGATCATAAACCATATTTATCATTCAAACAATGCCTAAAAAAGATTCTATATTGGGTTTCATCTTTCTCATTATTTGTTTATTCCTAAACAATAATACTTAATCATTTTTTTCTATTATGTCATTTATATGTTTTTTCTTCTATCAAAAACCAACACAATATATTGAATACCAATATCAATTAGTTAGATCTTTATTCCCTTTCCAAACCAGTATACCTTATATTTATTGTAATTTATATTTATAATAGATATAGTAAGAAAAATCAACCATCGATTTTTATCATTACTACTTTATTTAACTAATATTCATATAGCATATCATATTATTTAGTGTCTGCGATGACTATATGTCGTATATAAAGATAAAAAGGATTGTTCCTTATATATGCTCAACTTTGGAAGTTGCTGTTAAATAGATTTTTTTTATCATATAAGTGTTTTGTAAAATATGTTAGGAACACTAAGTGTATTTTTCAGAATTCCAATAATGTCGAATATCTCTTGCTTGGCTGAGTTGATTTCATCTCAACCAAATTCTGCCATCAATGTTAAGATACTCACCAAGTAGACTACTTCGGCAATTAACTTATTTAATACCAAAGTTAAAAAAAAAAAGTAAAGTACAATATTAATGATTCTTGCTCTTACCTTCTTCTTGCTGCGGGAAATCTATATTTGTTTGACAGATCTCATAGTGATTATCACGGCATGTTGCATTGGATAATATATTAGCATTTATAACTGATCACCTAAGTTAAGATTATATTAATTATGAAGTAATTTAAGAAAGTCAATATATGATACGTAGACAATTAACAGAAAACTATAAATGCCGTAGATGATTCTAATTGCAGTAGATTATATATTCTAATTGCAGTAGATGATTCTATAATAAATGCCGTATGATTACAGAATCTGTTAACTTAAAGATATATCAGATTTATATAGGAAGTCAAACCGTAATTTAGGAAAAGTTCTTTAAATATCGATAATGATGTTAACCCACGTAAATCTAATATTTATTGCATATCATGACACTTTTGTTATATTTAACATCGGAGAAGCTAAAGAATTAACACATTCTCGAGAGCACATTGAGCATAAACATCTTTCTCGAGATATGGATAGCCGAGGACCTTTAGCAGAATTGAGTTTTCTCAAACCTTTGCTTCCTATACGTGTTAAGATTATCCGCAAGGGGAAGTCAGAAGTTGTCTCAACGTTTCAGAAATTGCCACTAATATTAGGAGATGAAAAGGTAAGCTATATAATCTCTTGGTCGAGTGCGATTTTATATGTCCGTTTTGCTGACAATTTACTAACCCGTTTATACTGCTATTCAACAGGGAAACACCATTCAAGCAACATTTTCCAGAGATTTAACTACTTTCACTGAAATGCCATTGGAGGAAGGTCACTGTTATGAAATTAAAAATTTCACTCTAACTCCTGCAACAGAGCGTCTTCGGTTGTCAAAGAACCCTCATCACATTAACCTCGATAGATCATCCTGCATTTCCAAGATCGATAATTTTCCCATGGCGAACTATTATTCTTTTCCAGACTTTGACGATCTCTATCGTGGCTTAGTCCATCCTAAATTTTCTATTGGTATTTGTTCTTTACTATCTAATATATTACTCCTTTTATATTTTATAATGAAGATTATTATGTTAATATTTATTCATTAGTTATATATTGGTAATACTTTGATAAAATATCACGCAGATGTTTATGGAGCTATAGTAGGAGTAGGATTTTTTGAAGAATATATGACGGAACCTACTCAGTCAAACAATGGTTTCATGGACCATAAAATACGTTTTTTTCTACTAAACATCGAGTAAGTTTTCTACATTTTTAACAAAATGATTTACTTAGTATATTGATATTTTCTGAAATATGTTATTATACATTGATCACAGTAATGTTGCCGTTAAGTGTGTTGCATATGGAGCATTTGCTCATGTTTTTCACACCATATGGAATTCAATTAACGAGAATGTTGTACTGTGTGTTTTACAATTCTGGCAAAGTAATTGGGGAGCAGGTAATATATTTTTATAATTTTAAATAAATAGTCTATTTAATTTTATATCACATTAGAAAATAGCTAATAATTTTTTTTTTGTTTAATAATGATAAGGAAAATTGAAGAATATCTCAAACATCGATGGCTTTTCAAAAATCATTTTTGAACCAGATGATGTTCCAGAACTCCATCCATTGAGGAAGAAGTATATCATTTCGATGAGTTTAAAATTTTAAAAGAGTGTGTGTTGTTTCGTAAACTAACTAATTGTTATTTTTGTATGTAGGATTGCAAACCAAGAGTTTTGAAGACAATTTAAATTATTATATCATGTTTAATTTTTTATTTATTATTTTATTTTAATATACCTTTTTCTCATTATATCATGTTTTGTTTCTCTATGTTTTATTATGATATTAATTATTTTAATTTATTTACTACTTTTTTTAGTAGACGATTTCTTAATTTTTTGTATCATCATGTATCTATAAGACAAATAGATATATAAGACAAAAAGTGAAAACAAATAGCTATGAATCAATGCTTCGTTTCGCAGCTATACTAATATCTCATTATATGACTATATGATTTTTATTACTAATTCACATCCACTACCAATATTTAGTTAAACAAATTAATATACCAAATTATTCTTCGATCAAAGTCAAAATAATCTTACCCCGTGCAGGGCGCGGGTCAACACCTAGTATTGTAGTGAAAAGGAAATAAATGACTAAAGACAGATACGCCATAGTTTCTAACAAAAAATGACTAAAGATATGTCATTTATTTTTTTTATTTTTTTAGGATATGTCATTTAACCCTTGCCTTTAAAAGAAATCGAAATATATATTGAGAGAAAATGGGTTTTGATTATACATCATTGACAACCAAAGAAAGAGATCAGCTTGACATTGATCCCAGCACGGGCCGATATACTTCTCACGCTCTCTGAAATAAACTCTTTACAAACATAACACCGAATTTTTATTAATAAGCTAGATTTTATATTCAGAGTCTGGATTAATAATTTAGTTTAAGTTTCAGATTAAAAATATAACTGATTTATATGATTTTGTATTTAAAATATAGTTTGATTTTTTATTATTATATTTCTTTATAAACTTGTATTTTTAAATAATTACTTATTAGATATTATTTATTGTAGTTATAAATGTATTAAGTATGTTGATGAACATATTTGTATTTTCTAAAACTATTGGTTTTTTGTTTTGTTTTAAAGATTGTATAGAAGGCTCAATGCATGTAAAATGTTAATGCATTACCACAAATATTTTTATCATACTAGGTGTTGTGCCCGCCATGCGGGCATAATATTCTTACCAATATCAATCAATATGATAAATTTATTATTATTGCTTTCTCAAAAATAAATATTTTTTATGTTCTCAAAAAGTTTAAATCAAATTATTTATATTTGATAAATTTTTTTTATCGAAATATATATTGTACCCACATATTTTAGGTTGAAATTTAAATTA